TAAAGTACTTTGACTATCACAAAATACTACATACTATTTTTTATTCAACCTTAATTCAAGAAGAAAACGTTTCATCCAAAATATTTTTTACCTGCTTCAATTGCTGTAATATACTTAACCTCTGTAATTGATAAGGTAACATACTCGTGTAACTTAAACCATCAAAACATAGCTCATTCTGCAAAAATGAACAAATATTTTAAAGTAAATTTTCTACCATCAAGATCACCTACCATATTAACATCAGTAAATCTTCTAGAACTGGTTATGAAACTCTATAACTTAAGTATATTTTTTAGCTGTCTTTCAAATATTTAAAAATCAATTTCACTGTTTCCCAGTGAACCTTTCCTGGATTAGAAAAAAATCTATTCACTACATCAACTACATAAGTAATATCAGGCCATGTGCAAACCATAAGATATATGAAAAACAATTGCAAAAGAATAAGAAATACTAAACATAGCTAGTTGCTCTTTTTTGTCACTGAAAAGATTTTTTACTCAAATGAAAATAGTTGATAAGTGGATTGCTAACTGATTTAGCATGTTATATGTTGAATCTACTAAGCACTCATTCAACATACTTTTTTTATGATAATCATAGTTTTTTAGCTTTTTTATCATATTTAATATCTATACTAAGAATCTGCTTTGTTCGAACTAAATCTTTCATGTCAAATGACTTAGGTAATTATTTTTTCAACCTACGAATCATACCAACATCTTGTTCCACAATTAATATATTATCAACATTTACTAAAACAATAATGATATTATCATCAAAAAAAATTTTAACATACACACAAGAATCCATTATCATTATTTTATAGTTGTTGCTCACCATAAAAGAATCAAATTTTTTGTACCACTGTCATAAAGCTTGTTTCAAGCCATATAAGTTTTTCTTTAGTTTGCAAACTAAGTGCTATTTCCCTTTCACTTCAAAACTTTCAGGCTGATCCATATAAATGTCCTATTGTAAGTCATCATGCAAGAATGTAATCTTAATATCAAATTGCTCAAGCTTAAGATTTAAATCAGTTACTAATTTCAATACTAGAATGAAACTCATTTTCATAATCAAAGAGAAGATTTTATCAAAATCGATGCTAGATTTATGAGAAAAACCCATCAATCAAGTTTTATACCTCACTAGTTTGTCACATTTTTTCAACTAGAACACCTATTTATTTTTCAACGACATCTTCTCTTTTGAAAGTTTAACAAAATCATATGTAATATTTTTTCACAATGACTTAATCTTCTATTTTATTACTTTTAATCAATGTTATTTATATGAAATAGTCTGCACATATTGCAATCTCTTTGGCTTACTGGTAACTAAAATAAAATCTAAACTTGAATACTTGGTAGATGGCTGTGCTCTCTAATAAATTTCTTAGGTTGAGATTCTACATTACCTAATTTCGAAGGTAGCTCCCCATGCTCAACACCTCAGATAGAGAGGATTATTTTTTCTGTTCAAAACTGATTGTATTTGGCTCATCACTAACTATGGTTGACTCATTCGTATCTTTAAGTTCTATCTCTTACTTATTTTTACCATCTATAATTTTTTCTTGTAGAACTTCTATCGGTGTTGAAATATCATACTCAATAGTAACTCGTGTAATCTTTTCATTTTTTTCAAAGTCTGTTATAGTTTTTTTTTCATGAGAGATTACATCTCTGTTTCTAATCATTTTTTTTCACTGGATCTCATTCCCTATAGCTAAATTTTTCATCATCATATCCTACAAATACATAATGTATGGCTATACTGTCAAGTTTTTACCTCTATACTTTTGACACGTATATGAATGCTTTATACCTAAAAACTTTCAAGTGAGAGTATAAAGCATCTTACTCTATCTGTACCTTTTTTAGAATGTCAAAGCCCAAAGGAATTAATGGTGGTTTGTTAAGTAATAACAAGCTATGTTGACTGCTTTACCCTAAAATGACTTTGGTAATTTTGTCATCCTCAATATACATCTGATTTTTTTTATAATGGTGCAGTTCATCCTTTTAGCTATACCATTATGTTACAATATTTCAGGTTCTATCATCTCATACCTAATCTTATGCTTTGAACAATATTCTCCAAAGTTTTTGAATGTGTATTCTTTACCATTATCAGTCTAAATACACTTCAATGGCAACCTTGTCATCTTTTCTACCATGACATAAAATTTTTAAAAGTATTATAGTATCTGACTTTTGTTTTTCAACATATACACATAAGTCTTACGTAAAGCATTATAAATAAAAGTAACAAAATATCAGCTACCACCCAATAACTCAACCTTAATGAGATCATATACATCAGAATGAATCAATTTCAATTTGTTTTCTTTTCTCTGAGAATGCTTACAAAAAAAACTTTATGATACTTGCCAAATAAATAATGATTACATAAATCAAGATAATACTTTTGGTCAACATAATAAAAGACAGCCTTGTCAAAACCTGTAACCTTTTTTTACTCATATATGCCAAATTTTTATGTTATAAATTTGTTGAAACATTATCCTCAACAGTATTTATCTGATTTCGTACAATTGCATCCATATCTTATATATTATACAGTATAATTTTTCTCTTACAACTATCATAGATCATTTAAAAAGCTTTCACTGCACATTTTTTTATCAACTCTTATATCTTTTTTATCAAAGATATTAATAGCAAGCAAGTTCATTCTCATATTCAAAATATGTCTAACATCTTTTAAAGTTAACATACAGCTCGTGTTAGTTTGTACAACATCATCAATCTCAAGAATCTATGACACATTCTTATTTCTCATTTTGGTGTAATCAAAATCTCTTACTTTGTAAATTATAAATAGCTCTTTCTTAGGAATCAATGATATACTGTTCTTGTGTCAACTATCTATTCAATACTAGGATCACCAACATGATTACAATCATTATGTGTACAAATCAAAATAACTGTATCATTATCTGAATTCACTATTATAATATTGTCATCATCTAAACTCTTATATTTTTTATCTTTTCGTTCTTGCTTCAAGATTTTACATTTTTGCTTTATATGACCTATTTTACCATAATATAAACACTTCATTTTATTTCTAGACTTAGATCTACGTTTAAACTTATTATGATCTTTTGAGTTTTAACTTCTGTCGATGTTTCTACCTTTGTTCTCTATAACAAAAACTTGATTCCTAAGGTCTAAATCTTTTCACATTGCTTTTTCATTTAGCATACTATTTTTTACCATCTCCAATGTCACATTGTAATAAGAAGCTAAGTTAAGAATAATCATAATTAAAGTATTTCAGCTGTTTGGCAATAAACTCAAAAGAAACAACGCTTTTATTTCATCATCCGTCTTAAGTTTCATAGTAGTCATCTGATTAAATACATCTTAAAAATTATTCAAGTGCTTTGTAATCGATTATCCATCCTTATACTGCAAAGCTGTAAGCTTTTCAACAAGTATAATTTTATTCATACATATTTTTTCTCATACAATGCTACTAATTTTTCTTAAACAATGTGGGTATCTATCTCTTGTATTACATGATGGAACACGTTGATATCAACCTATTTTTTTATTGTAACCAAAGTCTTTCTACTTATCTTATTTCAATTTTTATTTTTTGTATCTACTAGTTTAGTTGAATCACTCAATACCGACTCATATAAATCTTCCTCTATCATAAGCTTCTAAATTTAATAATTTGATGCTATCAATTTTATCATAAAACATGTATTACATTTCATGATTTTAAATAGAATTTACTTTTGTCTTACGTTATTTTTATATCGATATCTCAAAATAACTCTTGCTCTGATACTACTTGTTGGGCTTGAAGCAACAAACATAACAATGCAGAAGTAATATATCTTAATAAACCACTTGTAATAAATAACAATCAATAATTTAAAACGTAAAAAAAAAAAAGACACCAATATTTACGTGAAAAACCTTCAACTGTAGAAAAAAATATGAACAATCAAAAAAATCTTCATTATTAAATAATTGATATAAAAAATTTTCTTGTAGCTAAAATTAAAGTTAATCAACAACTAAAAAAATAATTAAAAAAACTTCATCAAATAAATAACTCAATAAATATAACATAAATTTATTTCTAAAAAGCTTAAAATTTAATTTTTTCGTTCAAAATATAAAATTTTAAATTATAAATTTATTAATAAAATTTTAATTCAATCGAATCATAAATTAATTTTTATTCAATTAACTCTCTTTTCTTTTTCTTTTTTTTTAATTTTTTTTGGCTTTTTTTTTCCTCTTTTCGGCTTGCGATGCACTTCTCTTTCTTTTTTTTCGTGCCAAAACCAACCCTCATATCTTTTATTATATAAGAATCTTTTAAAGTAACCTAAAACGTAAAATTCCTGACCTTTGAATATTTGAATAACGCATGGGGCTTAACTCGCTCTTTCTAACAATAGCAATGCTAAATGGCACTGCAAAAGTAACGGTTGAAATACAAATACATACGTACATGTGTTTATATTTGATTGGTGATGATATCAGTTTGTACTTACTCTTGTCTGCTTAACAACAACTAGAAAATCAATTCGATAATGGTGCAATGCACAGGGAAACCAGAAAATTTGAAGGTTAAATTCAATGTATCTTTAGGTGGCTTTTTTCTCTATACCATAAATGAGATGAGGTAATCAATGAAACCGTAACCATTGACCACAATCCTAGTCACCATTTTGTTTCAAGGCAGTTCCCCCAGTTCATGTGCAAATGCAGAATGGATCATTTCAAATTTTAAGGTGTTGCTCACGCGTTCTGATAAGTATCTAGTTATGCTGACAAACTGTTGCTTGTTCGTACGTGGGAGAAGGGAAGCGAAGCAAAAAGACCGTCTTCTTTGTCATATTGCGGGTCCCAGGTTCTACTTGTCTTGACTCATGACGTGACACACGCGTTTGTTTCTGCAACACCTGCAGAGTTTCCTGACATGTCAGAAGACTTTCACTTTAATCTCTGTCTGTCTATCTCTCTCTTTGTTGGATGGGAACGCAATTCATAGAAGGACAACTGGGGCGTGCTTGGTGACATTGTTACATTTGTCATTTAAGAAGGTTAGATATACCATTGGCCCATCCTCTCCAATCCCATTAACTCTGCCATGAGCTAAACTTTTCTGACTGAAAAATCAAGTCTTACTGCTCCCACTTCCAAAGAGGATGTATCTTTGATCTTTAGTGTTCCAGACCATACAGCATCTGTTCTGACCTTTTGTTTTCTCTGATTTATGCCCACACGCAAGAAATGGAGCCCCAAGACTCACATCTCAAGATTGCCCGTTTTGCAAACTTCGGTACTCTTGCCTTTTTTTTTTCTCTCTCTCACTCAGGGCATATTACTTCATGATTTCTAGAAATTTTTGACCATCATGTATTGGTGATTCTTTTTACAGGGATTGGACTTACAAATTTGGGTGATTCGTGGAACATGGAGAGTAATAGGTTGAGTGGGGAAGAACGGTCGGCTCCAATTGGGCTAGGTCTTGAGCTTGGACGTGGCTCTGGTCATAGACCAACTGGGTACACAAAATCATGTGGGTTCACAGTTTTTCAGCTCCAGGAACTGCATCTTCAATCTCTCATCTACAAGTACATGGAAGCTGGACTTCCTGTCCCCCATCATCTTCTTCTTCCTATATGGAAAAGTGTTGCTGGTTCTCTTGGTGGCCTCCATGGCAGTCCTTATCAACTCTACTCCGGCTGTAAGTACCCAAAAAACATCTCCCATAGTCACTAAAAATTTTCTAGCACTGCTATTTTTTTGGTTAATTGATCAGTAGTAATAAAGTTTTCTTCTTCTTTTCTTTCGTCTTGGTCCAGTTTTGGGTTATGGAGCCTTGCGCTTGGAGTATAAAAATGGGCTGGATCCAGAGCCAGGAAGATGTAGACGAACAGATGGGAAGAAATGGAGGTGTAGCAAAGAAGCAGTCCCAGATCACAAGTACTGTGAGCGGCACATGCACAGAGGGCGCCAGCGTTCAAGAAAGCTTGCGGAAGCTTCTCAAGCTGCTACTACTTCACGTACTAGTATTAGCTCTACTAATGCTGATACCAACCTCTCCATTTCACTCCAAGTGGATAGCAGCAGCAGTAGTGGCAGCAATCTCTCTTCCAGCTTTGTTGGTTTCTCTCCAAAGAGTGTTCTTCGAGGGGGGTAATCCAAAAGCTGAACCTTCACTACAGTATCAAAAGTTGTGGAAGAAACAAAGGATATAATATGACAGATTTTGGTAGATGTTTGTTGTTAAGTAACCAGCAAGCTCGAGCCTTAGAAGGATTTGAGACTTTGATTTTTGTTTTGATGTAACGTTTTAGATGCGAGAGACATTAACGGTGTTTGTTGGGTTGCTGCGACTCATGGGCTCCATTTCTGATCAATCTCTAGCCTTAGCTAGCTTGAATGTTGTACTCGCATGGTTGCACCTATCTTTTATCAGCTTAGGCTTTTTTCTAATGCTACTGTGGAATAATGGGTAATGCAAAATGTTGGCTTTTAGATTTCTAATGGGCCCAAAATTCTAATGCTCCACACTTTTCTTTTTTGTTAATTTGGAGAAGGAAGTATTCAAACTAAATGTGTGGATACAAAAATTTTTCAATCTTAAACTTTTGTTGCAGGTAATTTTTTTCCCTGTAATACAACCAAAAATGACTAAATGAGATATGATAAGCTTGGGGATTGTGCTTCAAGTCAAGTACTAAAAAAATTGAGGATTGTGATCCTAGCAGTGGGCAAGAAAATGCAGGCAACATGAAAAAAATTTCATCCCAAACGAAAACGTGGGCTCCTAACTTCAACCTTCACTAGTGGATCAAAATAATCCCAACAGAAAAAGTAAATCCAATAGAGGGGAACTCGAGGCACTTATGACTTATATTTCCGTTGCTATATCTAACCAAAAGAGATTACTATTATTTTATAATGAAAAAATGTTATTTACCAAAAGAACCTAAAACACTATATGGCCTTAAAATGCTTGGACGTAAAGGTTAAACATAAATCTTTTTATTAGACCTCTTTCGGCTAAAGCATGGGCCTACCCATTATCAGCCAACGGCCACGGAGTTTTGATCAACACCTACTTTTTCAATGTTCAATCTTATGTTCCTACTAATCCCACCACTAACATCTTAGTCATACCGTGTACATTTTATCACTTAACCATAAAAGACACACGGTAATACCAGAGTCTTGAAAGCGAATCCATTAACGACACTCCCTCGACATCTAAGCTATTTTCATGAGGGAATCTAATTAGTACTTTTATGTTTTATCCTCTGTACCCTTTCTTCCATTCCAACGTTTACCATTTCTCCATTTTCTCAATTCTAAATCTTTACCCTCTGATCAGATCACCCCTCACTGAACATATCCTTCAGATCTAACCAGCCACTCAAAAACAATTGGAAAACAATACTTTCTTCTCTTCTTCTCTGTGTCTCTCGTTTCCTAATTTTTGGAGAGAGAAGAAAACCGAAAGAAAAAATTTTTGAGTCTTTGAGCTAAAGTTACTATTTTTACTGTCATCCCCAAAGACCCAAATGGTGGAAGCACAAACATGGACAACAAGGAGGATGAGCAACCCAAGATTGGACTCAACCGCCACTACCAACCACCAGGTGTTGGACATTCCAGTAACCCCAACTGGTGATGTTAGAAACGGCCTCTACAGCGTTGGATCCCATCTCTCTCCTAATCTTTTAACAGCTCTGATCATTGCTTCATGGTTCATGTCCAACATTGGGGTCCTTTTACTTAACAAGTATCTCCTCAGCTTTTATGGCTACCGTTATCCAATCTTTCTCACCATGCTTCATATGATCGCATGTGCTTGTTACAGTTACGTAGCCATAAACTTTCTTGAAATAGTTCCAAGGCAACACATTTTGTCAAGGAAGCAGTTTTTCAAGATCTTTGCTTTGAGTGCTATCTTTTGTTTCTCTGTGGTGTGTGGGAACACTTCTTTAAGGTACATTCCGGTGTCGTTTAACCAAGCTATTGGTGCAACGACCCCTTTTTTCACTGCCATTTTTGCTTTCTTAATCACTTGCAAGAGGGAATCTGCTGAGGTTTATTTCGCACTTTTGCCTGTGGTTTTTGGGATTGTTTTGGCTAGTAATAGTGAGCCTTTGTTTAACCTGTTTGGATTCTTGGTTTGTATTGGTTCTACTGCTGGTCGTGCTTTGAAATCTGTGGTTCAAGGGATCTTGTTAACTAGTGAAGCTGAGAAACTACATTCCATGAACTTGTTATTGTATATGGCTCCTATGGCAGCAATGATTTTGTTACCGTTTACTCTATATATTGAAGGGAATGTTGCAAGAGTCACACTTGAGAAAGCTAGGAGTGATTCTTTTATTGTTTTCTTGTTGGTTGGGAATGCTACGGTGGCCTATTTGGTGAATTTGGCAAATTTTTTGGTTACCAAGCATACGAGTGCCCTTACTTTGCAGGTTTTGGGTAATGCCAAAGCTGCAGTGGCAGCGTTTGTGTCGGTTATGATCTTTAGGAATCCGGTGACCGGCATGGGGATTACTGGATTCGCTGTTACGATTATGGGAATTGTGCTTTACAGTGAGGCAAAGAAGAGATCGAAGGTCACAACACACTGACAATAAGTTAAAAAAGAAAGGATAGGATTCATTTTGATTGCCGCAACAGGGGTGGGGCTCTTTTTTCTTTTTCCTTTTTTTATTATTCATTATAATTTCTTGCTTTTTTATTTTTGATTAGATTTTAATGGAGGAAAAAGAATCAAAGAAGAGAATTTGGATAAAAGAAAATTGTGATTGGATTGTATAGGAACGATGGTGGAAAAGGAAAAAGGTTAGATGCTTTTTTCTTTTGTTATTGGGGTGGTTTAACAGAATAAAATTCTTTCATTTTCCCCTGTTTGTAATCTTATACTATATGGTTTTGCTGAATTAAAATAGACAGATAGAAGACTCAATTCAAATATTCAATTTTATGTGTTATAGTTGGGAGAAAAATCTCCCCCACTGCTATATGTTGCATTATTGACTTCATTCTTCTGTTCACGCCATGTTCAATTAAATCTATGCATGATTGACATTCTTGGTCTTGTTTTTGAGTTTGGAAGAATTTCATTGGTAATTCTGTTTAGGGATCTAATCCTTTGAATTGAATTTAGAAGGAAACATGTTTTTGTATGATATAACAAACCTGGGAATGAAATTTTGATGCGTTTTCAGGTGTCCTGAGAATCTGAATAGAATTTTCTTCTTCTATATACCATTTGAAAGTTCATCCTTGTGATCTACAATGTGGTTTTTGCCATCCAATGATAATTGGTTAATTATTCACATTTATTTCTCAGCATGGCTGTCACTTTCTGTATTAAATATGATATAGAAAACAAAAGGGATAACTTCAATTCAAATTGATGGACAATGAATCCGCCTCGGGCCTATTTCTTGATAAGCTTTGAGGTCATTGACCATTCATTTTGTTACTACTATCAAAAAAAGTGTGAAGAACTTTAGAATCTTTTAACAACTGTGCACTGAAGTTTCAAAAGATGACCAGAGTCCATATTTCTCTGCCAGGAAACTAGCTGCAAGTAAGAAAAATGCTGCTTTTCCCTGACCTGTGATTGATGTTAAAATACTGGTTTTATCTTGTGGACAAACACTTTTTCTATGTTAGGAATATGTATCTTCTATCAACCGGGGAGAATCAACTGTCAATCTGGCATATGATTAGAGAATTTTAGCTTGAGACATGTGTAATCAAGTAATGGAATCGAATGAACTTTTGAAGGTAATGCAAATTGTTTTATTATTAGTGGCACAATTTAGGCTTCACTTTTTACTCTTGAAATTGCACGGGAAAAAAAATAGCTATGGACATGCAGATTCAAAATCACCTAAGAAGTTTATTTTCTTATTCTTTGCCATTTGGATGCCTTTTCATTGTATAATAATTAATGAACCTCCTGACTGTGATGTGAATGCGAGGTTTATAACAAACATGCTGAATATTTTCAGCTTATTTGCTGCTGGCTGTTAAGTTTGATAGCTTTTGTCTGAGTGATCAAGCTTTCACTTTTATTGTATTACTAGCTTAGCGTTTTTAAGGCAAAATCAATGTCAATCAATTCAGGGATCATTGTCTTATCATGGAACTCCTTAGAAATAAGGGCTGTGAAGTGAATGTCTGAATGGTTGATAAACTGGCAATTGTCAATATGAAACAGGTGTCTGTTCATCTGCTTCAGGTTGAAAGCAACGTTTCCATGTCCTGTTTAACCTTGATTTGCTGTTTATGTGCCTCCATGTCGGTTGCCACGTGTGTATGGCAGTTTAAGCTTACAGATAACCACTTGGTGTGGCTTGATTGGGATTTTCGAATCAGCAACTTGCATCAGGGAGGGACATAGGGTTGCTCAAAATTTTGGGGGTTGTTGGAACTTTATTCTCGGCGTGGCTAGCTTTAAAATTTTTGTGTTGGTTGAAGGGCAAGATCTAGAATTAATGAATATGAATTCTAGTGTACATGGCTTGACTGAGTCAAGTCGGAAATCTGTTGAGGCTTGGGACGAGGCAATTCAAACAAACAGGACCTGGCTTGCAATTCATATATAAAAGTTAATATTCCAAATCAACCGGGGTTGTTACATGGATTTCTTTGTTCGCCCGTTCCGTCTGATCAAAGGATTGGCATAAAATACGATATAGGGTTGTTGGAAAGTTGGCATGTTGCTTTTTAAAGTTTAATCAACAAAATATTCGTGTTAAATAAAAAAAAAAAAAAAAAGCCAAATGCTGTAATTATGCTCCATTAGGCATTAGTTGCTGCTGATGCTTTCGGGGTTAATCCTGGGTCAGCTGTCTATGTCGGAGCTGGATAAAAAATTTGGTGATCGCAACCATTTGGCTTTTATTCAAGTGATTGGGGGTGGAGACCAGAGAATTTGCCTAATAACCCTTGGTTCTAGTTTCAGCTAATAATTGTGCTATCATGTAACAAAAATATTCAACTGAGGGGACCAAGCAAATGCTAGCTTCTGATTTCCACTTCAAGAAGTCTGTCAGCACCTCAAATTGTACCCAATTTTCTTTTTTTTTTCTGGTGTTGTAAAGGTGATCACATTCACGTTCACGTCATTACTGGTTGTTGAATGTTGAATCCATGGTTGCAGCAGTAGCTGCAACACATTGTATGAAAAAGTCGTTTGCATCGATTCTGTAAAACATTGTGGGCTCCTTTACCGCAATAAAGCATGTGATTAGTTGCCCGAACAATTCTAGTCACTTTCCTATGACTGATGTTATCATGACTGCAAACTATTGTGGTGAACACCGTGCGGTCACCTGCATGTAAGTGCAGTTTGAGGCTTTGAGAAATGTTGGAACAAAAAGGAGAAAAAGACGACAAATTTTCTATGTTTAGCATCCTAGCCGGCAGAGATTGTTTGGTTCCAGCGTTTGAAGCCAAATTTAAGCTGAAGGTTCAGGGCAGCAGGCTTCCTCACCGTGTAGCTGTGGCACCTTGGATTTTTTCTGTTGGGTTTAAACTCTACTATCGAATGGGATTCCATTATTCCATCAGTCACAATTCTTTTTAGAACTGATTCGAACATGTGACAAAAAAATATACAAATAAGGTGAGTGCCCGACATGCTTTTTCTACCATTGTTCTATATTTTACTAGTCGTTAGGATCAACTCCTTTACAGGATTCAGGTACGCAAACTCTTGACCGATATCACAGTCCGAGTTTCTTTCAATCAGATGATATAATTCTGAATCATTAATTTAACAGTTAATTTTGAAGGTTCTCCGTCGCATGGTGGTCATAGACCTTTCCCAAGACTGCATCAGTAGCAATGATCTAGTATGCAGAGCAGCAATGATCTAGTATGCAGAGCAGGCTCCTTCTGTTTTAAGCAAGAGGCTTGCCCTCTCTCTTTCATTCAAGTCGTCAGCAATGGCGTCTACTGTTCACGTCCACCCTTCTTTATGCCTTCTTTTGGCAGACATTGTTTCCGAAAGGTCTTGCCGTTGCTATAACAAAGAGAAGAGGCCCTTCAAAAAGGCTTATGATTTAAAGCACTGGACGAAAAATGCTCTACCGAAGAACAACTCCGTAGACAAATAATACAATATAGAGTAGCATACTAGCTGCAATCTGCACACAAGCAGAAGATGGACTTACAGATTCATCCAACCTGACATAAAATTGAATTGAGCACCAGGGGTTTCTGAAGAAACTAGTAAATGGGTTACATTTCCGAACTAACGGCCATCATATTTGCGGTAATGCTACAAAATTAACGTCAAAGGAAATGGTACGAGGCCTTGATTGGCTGTACAACTGTAACATTTTTATTGTATCAAGGACTTGTGACCCAGAAGTATGGAGCACGAAAGTTCATCTATCTAGCATGTCAGTTTCTTTAGAGGTAAAGATTGATTTCTGGTAAAGTTGCATATCAACAGATTTCTAGTAGAGTTGGATATCAACAGATTCCATGTGCAGCAAAAACTTTGTTTGTTGATGAGGTTTGTGCAATTGTCAAGTGTTGATCCGTCAAAATTCCGAACAAACAGCCACTTTACTTTTAGCGGATGCCCAAGCTCCTGAGTAATTTCCATGTATTAATCTTGTTGAAAACTTACAATTAAGAAGGGAAAGACGAAAAAGATATTTTGTTTAACTATCTTCTTCAGCTGACATACCTCATGCTGAATTGATTACCAACTTCAGTGACAAAACCATCACTCTCGCACTGAATGTTCTTGCCGCCAAACACATGTTCTTTTTCCTTTGCCAAATGCCTCATCTACAAGATAATGGCATTTTGATGCATCACTTTATAAGAACAGCTAAAGCCTTATCATTAGAAATTGCAAATAATTGGGAAAATCAAACTTCTGTGTTGAAATTATGAAACTTACCCCATGTTCTGGATGGAAAGAATTCCATCTATTTTCTTTTGAGCCCTTACACCAAAGAACAATTACATCAATAACACAGTAAGAAAAATCAAAATTCAAAAGTGCTAATCTGAAGTAATAGAGTTAAAATACTAGGAGAACCTTTGTAGGATGAGGCAACTTCATCTGAGATCCATTGCTTGGCTGTAGTTCAGTCGCAAGAGATAGCTGGCAGACAACATAGATATAGAAAAAGAGAGTATATTAACAAAAATATGCCAAGTAAACAATAAGAACCCAAAAAGATAAATAAGAAAAATTCAATTGCATTATTAGATGCAATATAAAGTTAAATGGAAATATATAAAGAAGGAATATGAATTACAGTATAACTAAAACATATTTATCAAGGTTTACCTTACTAAAAAGTTCTATAGGTGGATTTTGGGGAATTTTCTTCTCTGTATGGAAATTAAATTCCTGTTTGGTAAATAAAGCACAATATCATCTGAAACAATTCAGCCAACAATCAATTTGTAACAAACAGAGGTAAGATCTTCCATGCTCTACCATTGGCACTGTGGTTTCCCTTTTGATATTTCGGAAAACACCAATATCTCCTTTACTGGAAAATATCTGCATACAGGGAATTAAATACTCATTATATAGGAATCATTGATAAATAGCCCAAGCTTTTAAGAAAACAGTACGTTGATGTAATTTTGCATTTGTTTACCTTCTTATTTAAAGGACGAGCTTTGAAGTTGTACTTTGTGTCACAAGCATCCTGCCTAATGGCATCCATGGCACTTGGTCTAAGCAATGCCGGAAAAAATTCCAAAGTCATTCCTTCTCAGATTTAATACAAATTTAATACTAGGGACCTACATACAAAAGACTAAATGCATGCTTGAATGATATATACTAATAAAGCATGCTTACATGGTATACATTCTGCGCAAAACCACATTCTCTAAATAGTTGAAATATAAACTGTTACTACATTCTCTAGATAGTGAAAATATAAAACATTTACCTTCTGGCTTCTCTAGTTCCATTGCAGTTAGCAGAAATTGTACAAGGTTTCTCAGACCCCTGCAACAACACAAGTTTTCCATAAGTAACAAAGTGGATTGATGCAAAAGCTCAAAGTAAGATGATAAATAAAAATATCAACGCGTGTAACCTTATCAGCATTATTTGTTTGGAATGAGGATGATACAGCTGATGAGAGTTGCACAGCTCTTTCTGATGTCTTCAGATGAAATTCCTGAGGAGCAACGGGACAACAATTTGAGCTACATATGGAATGCAGGAAACCTCATTTTGCTAAAAGTATTACTTTTCATGATGCTTCCAAAAAATGCCATTAATCCAGGAACAACCAAGAAACTAAAGTCCATTACTTACTTGAAACTCTGGCAACTTAGGAATACTCTTCTTTGAAAGAGGCAACGAAGGAGCCTCGAGAATCTACAAATTGTAAACATATATTTGAGAGGAGAGAAATACAACAAATCAAATTTAGAGAAAGTCCATTTTGTTGCCTCATAAGTACCAACTTTTCTATTCAATGGCCGTGCTTTGAATCTATGAGTGACAGATGTAACATGCTCCTGTTCTGTACCATTCTTAGGCCTGAAATGAAGACATCATTGCATCAGCAGATTGTTAACAATACTTTTACTCTGTACCTCAACATGTAAAGAAAGAGTGACTTGAAACTAACCGTATTCTTTGAGCCCTGTGTGCTGTTTCAAGCTCAGGTTCCCTTGGAATGGTAAGCTTCAGTTTGGTATTGATAGTGTTTCTTTCAGTTCCATCCTGCATAACCACAAAGAAAAGCCCGGAAAGTTTCAGATGCAAGATAGGTTAATATCCAAATGCACTTTAAAAATATAACATAATTCAAGGGTATACCCTTTTAGGTGCCTTGTGGACTAAAATAGTTTGCTGCCTCACCTCATCAACCTGCAATGCAGAACAAAACTTGAGCTCAAACCAGAAGCTTATTTGATAAATTATGCAACCAAACCATACTATTAATAGAAATTAATGATAAATATAGAATATCTAAGTCTCAATCTCAAATCAAATGTGGAGACGGCAAAGTGAAGACAGATGCTAATTAGGAGAGCTGATCTAAGCAACATCTAGTTTGCCTCTCTCTCAGTTTTAATGGGTTCATATATGATAAAAACAACCAATTAGAGCACCTTGTCATAACAAGCACTCAAGTAGTTATTAGTTTCCAACTTGTGAACATTAAAAGCACAGGTTCTTTCAACAATATAAAAACCACTTTTCTATCACACTTGAAAAACCCATGTTCAATACAAATAGCTGCCATAAGAAATTCTACAAGGTATGAGCTAGCATCATGAGAGAAAGGGAAATTTTACGAATTCATATACCTTACGTGAGAGACCGCCCTCAAGCTTCTGCCTCTTGGAAGCTTGACTTTCAAGCACAGAAGAATGACCTAAGCTTCTGTCACCATTTACCACCTGTAGCTTCTGAAATCTACAATAGAGAAATGAAGTATTAGAAAAACCAACAGAAAGATCAGAATTGTAAGCGTATAATATTACTAAATAGGATATTAGTCATTGCCATGAGCAAAATATTTTAATAAGTAGCTTTCACAGAAAAACTGTTCCTCTTATTGAAAATAGGATCTTTTACATTTCAGGGAATAAGAAACTTAATGACAGTTGAAACTGAAAGTAGCCATTTCCAAGAGGCAAGATTCTCTTTTTCTCTTTGAGAAACACTAGATTGTGAGACTTGAATAGATAAGAAAGTCAATAGAGCATTACCTGCATGTAGCAACTTGAGGGGGCAGATTTTGTTTGGCTAACTGACTTACAGTAGGTTTCATAAGGGTTGAGCTCCTTGGCATAAATGGTTTCATGCTCTTAGATTTAGCTTTTAACTTATCGTTTGGTATGTGATTGAAAGTTGTCAAGCCTGAGGGAGGTATAGGAAAAGAAATTACATGTACAGAGAATAAGTTCCAGCAAATAGATGGGCACACATCTAGACAGTACAAACAATTAGAAGTAATATTTGTGGTTAACTGAACATACTTGAGAAGGCACAAATGATAACAACTTGAATGTCACTGGAGAGAGAGACAATTAAGAAAAAAAAACTTAAAATCACTTTGCACAGTTTGATGATCACCTGTAGTTAATTGAAATCGTTCTTTCAGAGCTTTTTGTAAAACCTTCTGTATATTGGTGAAGATCCCTCTGTTATTTCCTTCATTGCCTAAAAAACAATTAAGGAAACAATAATATTAGTTATGCTTAGTTTTCAGACTTTCCAAAGAAAATAAAAAATCTTCTTTTTCCTTTGATATAATCAAAGGTTTAACCAACAACTGTAAAACAGACCATACTCAAGCTCATGCTTCGTATAATTGCCTGCGGAAGCACAAGCTTGCCTCAAAGGCTCTCTATTTATTTCTGAAGCAAGCTCCACAGCTCTTTAATATTAGCTAAATTATTGCAGTTGGCCTTAAAAGCTAAATAAAAAGAAAGTTCAATGCAATAAAAGCATCATATATAAGTTGCTAGGCATGGGTAATTGTACCTCTGTTAGTGTCACCCATAGCTGAAAATTCCAACGCCATAACATCTTCGGAATCATTCTCAAGTAATGTGCTAGTATCTTCCGCTTCTCTACATTTTGGAGACGTAGCCACAATTTCCAGGAGACTTTCCTCCCTTAAAACTAACTTTGACACAAAAGCTACAACCAAAAACATAAAAAGGTTAAAAGATAGAAACATGTTTACCATGAAAGATTTGAGGAAAACAATTAAATGCCAGAAATTTAAAGGACCTTTTTTTTAACAATAATGTCTCCAAAATTTTGAAACAAAGGAAACAAAAGAAAAGGCAATCATTGATAATAACTCTAAGAAAGAAAATAAAATCATATTTACAGTTTATTTTTCTTCAATCAAACAAGAAGATAATGAACAAATAATTAAATAAAATAATGGTAAAATAATTCTTGCTTCAAGCAACCATTATTAAGCAAAAGAAAAACTGACGAGAGGGAGGATAAGTCGGCGCCGACTCGAACCAAAGTTCAGCTTCTCTGGCCTCCGTCGGCAACTCCTCGCGAGTGAAATCAAAGAACCGAGTCGCATCAAACTCGTAATCAAGATCAATCTCTCGCACCTCGAACACTGGCTCTATCTCCATCTCCTCTTCCATCTCTCTCTCTCTCTCTCTCTCTCTCTCTCTCTCTCTCTCTCTCTCTCTCTCTCTTTTAAATACCGATCTAACTAACTTGGCCTTAACCAACCAGAACCAAACTCCGCCACCATTGGGACTGATAATCTGAAACCCTAAAAATCTTGGCACGGCGAGGTTGAGTTGACAACGGTGATGACTACGCTTGAGCCAGCTTCACTGTAGCATTCGAAGCAAAATAAAAAAAAAAATTTGCAGCGAAGTCTGATATTACGGCCTTTTGAAATTATTAAAACAAAAAATATAAGGCAGTTTATAAAATCTTTTGACGATTGAATCCCTGATCTTTTCCGAAAATTTGTTTTGGGGAACTGTGAGGGGAGGGTAAAATAGTCAATTAGGTTTGAATTTTCTTTGGGGAATTTATTTGTCGTAGAAGTGAGGAGCACTGCTATCGGGGTTCGAGCACAAGGCTTCGGGTGGCGAGATCCTGTCGACGGGACTGAAATTTCGGCGCTGGTTGCATTTGCCACTGGGGTTTGATTGTAATTGCGGGATTGCCACTTAACGGTTATATTTTTTGTCAGGTATGAAGGGTAGGGAAGAGTGGGGGCCCTCTGATTGGAATTCAAATCTGGGGCCAAAGATGAGAAGGGAAAAAGAGTATTTACAGAGTTTTGGACCGACCCTAAAATTAACCAGCCTCTTTTTCTTGATTAATGATTAAACCTCTAAATTACGATGGAATTTATTTATTTTTCTTGATTAATGATGAAACTTCTATGCAGAAGGCCATATAAAATAGAATAATATTAAAAGAAGGATATGAATTATTAAATAAAATTATATTTGAAAATATTAAAAATGAAATATTATTTACATTTTAAATGTCTAAATCTTTAAAGAATTACACTTGACAGAGCAACATTTTTTTAAGTTAATCAATGATAAAGAAGAGATCATCATTTTAAAAGAAGGGTATTTTGAGGTTTTTCAATGGAATTTATTGACATTACAATTTTTAATTAATGTAATGAATTATGGATTTCATTTTTCCCATTCAAAGGATTATGAAATTTGTGCATAAATTTTAGATTTAATTCAACTATGTTATATTTGATGATAAGATGATTGATAAAATAATATGATAATTATTTTATGTTATATTTAGTTTATATCTAATTGAAAATAATAAGATTATAAAAAAAATTATCAACTTTTTAATATAAGATGATTAATCTTCTCCAAAATGAAAAAGATTATTTTTAATTCAAATGATTAAACTTATATATCTTATTATATCATAAAAATTATATTAATAATTTAAATTATATAAATTAAAAAATTTTAAGTAATAAATAAATTATTTTATTTTAATTCTTACACGTAATAAATATAAATAAAATGATATTATTTAATTTAATTCAATTCATAATATTATCTTATTTTATTATATTATAATTATGTGTATCAAATATGATTTTAATTCATATTTTTCACATTTAAAATATAATATTTAATAAATTTAAAATTCAATGTTTTATGTTTATAATGTTTTTTCTTGTATTATAATTTTCTTTATAAAAAAATCTATGCTTTACCTCTAAATAATATATATATATATATATATATCTCTTTGAAGATTAAAAAGAAAATAAATAGACTGTTTGATGAAAAGGACACTCCTTTTTATTTATTTTTTGGCCCTTTGGAAGAGATTTGAGATCCAAGACCTAGAAGTATGACCTTTGCCTTTTGAATGGTATGATTGCTTGGTTGTTGGATATTTCAGAACTTTTTTTGTGTGTGTTTTTCAGAAGGCAAATGTCTGATTACTTAATAAATGTTGTTCATTGAATGCAGTGACAACAGACTCGTGTTGTTGTTTTCCTGTATCTTCATTTGACCTTTGTTTTTTTGGTTGGATATTTTGATTTGAGAAGCTAATCGGGGTTAAGCATTAAATCCATTAGCAAGATTGGCCACACTATCCTATATTTTCGTAGATTAGCTTTAACAAGAGGGAATATTCAAATTTGATTTTAATTAAATTAAATCAATTTAATTGATTATTAATTAATTTTAATTAATAAAAATAATTTTAAAAAATTTTAAATTTTGTGTTCAAAAATTAAATTAACTTAATTAATTAAACCCTTAACTATTTGAAGGAAAACCCTAAAAAAAGCCTCAAAAACTTACATGAATTTAAAGTTTATTGGAAATAACTATAGCTTGATTGTTCAACGAGGGGATAAACTTGATTGAAAATTTTATAGGAAAATACCTTGGCGGAGTGAACAAAGGTCGCTATGATAGAAAAAACAAAGGGAAAAGGTCAGCCCATTTTTTTATGAAAGGGTTGGCCCATTATAAATAAACCAATTTAATTGAAAAAAATTAAATAGTTTATTTTTATTATTTTTTAGAAACAGTTTGAATTCATAAGAAATATTTTTTTTAACTTTTATTTACATATATTTATTTTATATGTTACTTTAAATAGTAACAAAGATAGAACCAACATCATCCATACCATTACATTAAAGTTATCCCTGTTGAATCTAAAATTTTCATTTAGATTTTTGAGTTTCAAATTTTAAACAATTAACATTTGTCATAAATAATGATTTAAGGTTTAAGGGTTAATTGAGGTATAGAATTATATGAGTATGGTTGAATTTGACTTTGTTATTATTTTTATGCTTTTTAGTTATTTGTTTTTTTTCTTACATTAGAAATTTAGAAAGGAAAGAGATTTATGAAAAAATAATTATTATGTAATCATATTTATTGTGTAATTTATAATAACTAATATTAATAATATTAAAACATATAAAAAATAAATATTATTTAAATAAATAATTAACATTTAAATCGATTTAATTAAAATTAATTTTAAATATTAATTAAATATTTAAATATTTAAAAAATCAGCTATTTGACTAATGGTTGCCTAAATATCTAGATTGAAACACCAGCCCAAAGTTAATAAATCTATTTCCTAAACTAACGTCAGGAATTAAAAAAAAAATCCTTAACAAATGTTTGTCGAAATATGAAAAATATCATAAAGATTGACAATATTTGATGTTTTTGACCAGAAATTCATTTTATTATAGAGAGAATGAAGAGAAAAAAAAAGGAAGAAAAAGTAAATAATAATTTTGAAAGTAAATAATAATTATTCAAACAATGAAATTATTATAAATTACAAATGGTCTATTTTATTTAGAAAAATTTGTATGTGAAATTTTTTTCTTAAATTTAACTCAAATTATAGAAAATTTTATATAAAATTTTAATAATAATAATAAAAATAATAATAATTGGTTTTTATTTTCAAGCCAATGCATTTGTATTATATAATTTATAAATAATTATTTTTTATATATATTTAAATTTTAAATTAATAAAATATAATTATATTAATATCAATATAACCAAAATTCCTCAATGAAGTGAAAGGCATCAACTAGTAAACTACAAAAGGCCCCAACAAAGTTAATGCTTCAAAGTTTTGTGTTATGTAAAAGTGATAATAGTTAAGATCGGATTGAATTAAGTTTAATTTTTTTGGATAATATAAAATATTATGAATTTTGAAAATTTAATCTAAATTTAAATCATTTTTTTTAAATTTATCTTATTCAAACTGTGTTTTATTCAATTCATATGTTTTTAAATTTTGTTTTATACATATTATTTTAAAAGAATTTTTAATATATTTAATTAAATTTATATAAAATAATTATTTTTATTTTATAAAATATAAAATATATACAAAATTAATAAAAATATATAATTTGATTCGATTTTTTTTTCTATTTTTTATATCTCAATTCACAATTTGATAGAACTTAATATATATATATTTAATATTCGATTTTAATTCGAATAAAAAATATCAATTTGAACCATATTGAATATTATAATTTTTAATCAAATTTTGATTTTTTTATTTTTTTCTTACCCCTAATGTTGTATATAATTTATTCGGGATACATGGTGACTTGCCTTGAGGTCGTGGTGGACAAAAAAGAGACAAAATTTGGGTATTGTCTTGAGTGCAAAGGGGGACTTTGAGGATCAATTGTGGACAGATTCTATCTCTTGTAGTCTTTGTTCTTTTATAGAGACTCCAAGGGGTTTCTAATTAAGGTTAGGTTAGAACAATGTTTTCTTGTACATAAATAATAATTAATTTTTTTGTCCACGTGATTTAAAAATGGAGAGCAATTGATTTATTCAAATCTAAACATTTGTGCCTTCTTAAAATTCCTTTATCATTGGATCAAGCAACGCAAAATGTTGTTAATTTAATCTTAATTAAAATTATTATAAAATCAATTATGAAATAAAATTACGACGAAATTCACCTATCAATGATCCAATGATGCCATTATTCATAATAAGCGAAAATACAGGAGAGTGATCATACTATCTTTTTGGCTTCACATTAGAATAAGGTTAGTAGTACATGCCTTTGATAGCATCAAGAACATCTTTTTGTCAGCTTCATCATATGACTATCATAGCTAAGATTAGATCAAACACAATAACTTTAATCTATTTGCAAGCAATGCTAGATCCAAGACCAAAACATGTGCAAAAGGATAAACCTTGAGGTAGTAATTATATGTAGCAAATTTGCGTCAGATATCTCATCTTAACGCAGTGAACAAAGCAACCGAATGACTTGACATTAGGAGTGCAATCGAGTCGAATCGAGTTGAGTAATGAGAAGCTCGAGCTCGAGTTCGATTCACAACTCGAAGCTCGATATTCGGCTCGGACTTTATCAAGTTTTATTTTTTTAAGTTCGAGTTCGATTCGTGATCGAATTCGAGCTACTCGAACTCGTTCGATTAAACTCGATTAATATGTAAAAATAAATTCGATTCGTATACTCGACAAGAATTCGATTATTCATACTCGAACTCGAAATATTTTATTAATTAAAATAATAAAATATATTTAAATATAAAAATTTGATTAAGTTCGTGAACTACTCAAATCGGATATAAAAATACTCGAATTCGGTTCGATCGATAAGTCGAGTTACTCGAGCTCGAACTCGATTCGATAATAATCGAATCGAATTCAAGTTTTCTTCGAATCGAATCCGAATAATTTACGAGTATTAATGTATCATTTACACCCCTACTTAACATTATCTTCTCCTCAGTACAGGATGGATTTAGATTCGACTATTGTTAACTCCAATGAAATGCAATTAAATTTCAAAAATTTATACGTAAAATCCAAACAAGAATTCAATGAGGTGCTGTTGGTTAAACGTAGCACAAATTTTTAATTAAAAATTTTAGACTGAGTGCAAAAATTTTTTTAATTACAATTAAAAATAATAATAATAATTATTTTTAATATCATCCGAGTTAATTTCATCGACCGAGTAAATAAACCCTTAGTCAAGGAATGATAACAAAAGTTGTCAACCAACGCATGAAAATTACCGAA